TGTGGCAAAGTCGATCCCTAGAAAAAAAAAAAAAAAAAAAAAAAAGTCCAGATATCCCACTTCACAATCTTTAAAACTGGCAACTCAACTCCTGGTACATATTAACTAATAAGTTTTCTAGTTTGGACTTTGCTATATTGGAAAATAAAAAAGAAAAGAAAAAGAAAAAGAAAAGCTGTAATGGTTCCCATCCAGTCTTTTCTCTGCTGGAAGCCGTGGTCCCAGTCCTGGTGCGGCTCCTCCAGCCCTCAGTCCCAGGCGTTTCGTGCCCGCCCCCAAGTCCTGCTGCTCACAAACACCCAATCTCATCCCACACAACAGGTCTTTGTTTCAGAAACGTGCATTGCCTTAGGTGCCTCCCATAAAGAAACAGCATCGCTAAGCCTCAGCCTCAGTGCAGTTCACACATGGAAATAGGAAGCACCTCTGTGTCTCAGCCCTAGTGTGACGGTAGGTATCTGGGATCCCACACTTACTTCGAAACAGCGATGAGATGCGTAGAGCTTGTGGGGCTGGGCGATCGGGGTCTAACTGTTCCCCCCAATCCGTTCTCCACGCCACCGCCAAGGCAGCACTGTTTACAGCGTAAGCCTGATTGGACAGTGCAAACCTGCCACCCCGCCTTCGGAGTCTTTGATGGCGTCTCAGGGTCCTCTGTACACAGCTGTGATAGCGCGGGAGGCCCCGTGACACCCCAAAGGCCTGGATCGCCTCATCTCGCCAGCCTCATCAGTGTCTCAGTCTCTGGTCTCCAGCCGTGCTCGACCCATTTCAGCTGGTGCTGGTTTTGGTGGTTCTATTTCTGTTTTTCTTGTACTGGGGATTGAGCACTGGGCTTAGCACTGAGCTATACTCCCAGTCCTTTTGATTGCTTATTTTGCTCTTCTAGGGCTAGTGTTTTGTTGTTTGTTTATTTGTTTGTTTTTGTTTTTATGTTCTAGGAGCATAAAGTGTTCATTGATCAAAACCTAAGTCACAAGCTTCACTCCAATTTTGGGGTTGGCATGAGATTTCCCCAACTCACCCAAGTTAGGAATGAGAACCAGGCATGGTGGTGCACACCTATAATCTCAACTACCCGGGAGGCTGAGACAGGAGGATCACAAGTTCAAGTCCAGAATGGGAAACTCATCAAGACCCTGTTGCAAAAAACTAAATGAAGATGGCTAGGGATGTAGCTAGCTCAGTGTAAAGGCCCTGAGTTCAATCCCCAGTATCAAAACAGAAACAAGCGAACAAACAAAAGGAGTGGGGCGGGGGACAGCGATTCCCCAGAGAGCGTTTGGGGTATGATTAGCAACACAGGCAAGAAAATGTGCTGCACGGGGGTGGGGGTGGGGATAAACACTAATTACCCAGCTGCATTATCTTCTCACCTATATAGAAAATAAACTGTAGGTTTAGCCTACCAGAGACAGCGTTATCTGCGTGTGGTGTGCAAATGAATCTGATGTTCTTCTTGATGTGACTGGCACCAAGGTTTGTTTGTTTGTTTTTGGTACCAATGATTGAAGAGCCTTTGCCTTTGAGACAGGGTCTCACTAAGTCACCAAGTTCCCCAGACTGGGCTCAAACTTACAATAGTCCTCCTGCCTCCGCCTCCCAGTGTGCTAGACCAAGTGATTTTTTTCATTCTGCTTTACATCATCTACCCCTCAGGTCACAAATATATGCGCAGGCAGCGCCCCATTTAGGAGCTACACCACATTTTGGAGCAGGAAATTAAGATCTCTATAAAAAGGAGGTGTTCGTAATATCCACATGAGCATCAGAAGAACCGTGAGACAAAGGACACAGCTCTGAAGACAGGGCCGCTTGGTCCCAAATAGCATCAGCTCCACATCCACACTCCAAGGGGAGAGCCTCAGGGACAGGTGGAAGTTATCTATATATATATTTCTCTCTTTGAGGTGTACATATATACCAAAATAGGAAAACAGTAGCCATGGTTACAGGACATGGTTCAGGACTAGATGAATAACTGTCAAAGTCGTAATTTTTTTATTTTGACTTTGAATCCTGTGAATATATCACTTATTTTAAAATGGAATAAAGTGTTTTTTCAAGGAAGGGTGGGTAAATAGAGGCTTCATAGATACATGCTTTTTGAGGGTGAGAGGACATGGAGGAGATACTGGGGAATGAACCCAGGGCCTTCCCACTGAGCTGCATCTCCAGCCCTTTTAGTTTTTTATTTTGAAACAAGGTCTCACTAAGTTACCTAGGCTGGGTTTGAACCTCCTGTCTCAGCCTTCCAGAGTGCTGGGATTACAGGGATGAGCCACCACACCCAGCTCACAGACACACTTACTGACAAGTTTGAAGAAGTCACTTAACTATTTTCTCACTGAAACAAAAAGGACTGACCTTCCCTCATAAGGCTGAGGTAAATAAATAAGCAAGGCGCAAGTACTTAATAACTGCCAATGTTGTGCTGCTGCTGATTAGGACAACAGTGGCGAAGGTGACAATAATAGAAGGAATAAAATATCACAAATATTTTTGAGGATTGGCAAAGACTCACTCCTCAACCTACTGCTAGACAGGCTCCACTGAGCCCTCTGTTCCACTAGGCCTCATCCTTGGGCCTCAACTTCTGCCTGTCCACAGCCCATTAGCAAGAATGCTGCTAGGACTGTTTATAAAAATCCTCCTGGCCTGGGCTGCCCTCAACAGGAATCCTATGAGATCTGAGTAGCTGAGCCTGATCTCTCTCTTACTATCACAGTCTTAACACCTATCACCACAACCGTGAAAAAGTCTCCCATAACATTTAAACAAACTACTGGAGTGATTTTTTCTTAAGCAAGATTAACTTTTAAACACACTCCGTGGTTGAGCTTCCGATAGTTTTTATACACACAAGCATCTAGCCTCTCAGAATCATATTAACGGTCAACATTCTAAAATCTCAGGCCTGAGAAACAATCCTAGAATCACTTTACTAGGCCGAGGAGCAGGAAGCTGACATGGAAAGCTGAGCGTGGCAGCACCCAAGAGGCTGAGGCTGAAGGATCACAAGTTCAAGGCCAGCAAGGGCAGCATAGTGAGACTGTGTCTCAAAACGAAAGATTTAAAAGGGCTTGAAGGTGTAGCTTAGTGGCAGAGCGCCCCTGGGTTCAATTCCTAGGTCTGTAAAAAAGGTAAAATAAAAAAGCCAAACCATCCAATAAATACAAGCTACAGCCAAGAAATTCTTTTTCTCTGCTGCTGACTTGCGAGTTGTGAGGCCGTTGGTGACAGCAGGTACAGCACTCTTCTGAGCAGCCCCAGCCGACCACTCACTCCTGGCTGGTTGCCTGGACAGTGCCTGCATCCTCCCTCAGGCAGGGACCCTGAGCTGTGTCTCAGTGCTCACACAGCCTGCCCCGATCCACTGTGGATTAACAGGCTTTGGCCCTGGCTGCTTTGTAGAACACTGTGGATTATCAGGCTTCATGGGCTCACTTTAGGATCTAGAGATGTTTTCTAATGTAGCTCCTATGAGAAAAATCGGTCCCAGGGCACAGGTGCCCAGAAGCAATGGAAACACAGGTCCCCTCCCAGGTCTCTCCTTTCTGATACCTCCCTGCCCAGCACTGGAAGGAAGCGGACCTCATTTCAATCATGCTGTACCCTCAGTATCACTTGGAACCTGTCCCCAACCCAAGTCCAGGCAGCCACCAGTCTCTACTTCTGTCTTCTCAGTTTCCTAGAAACCCTAAAGGATGGGCTCCGACCTCACCAGACCCAGAGCTGGGCCCCACATGCCCTGGCCAGGGTTCCCTTTGTTTTCTAGCCCCTCCCTGTATACCGTATACCACCCACCTGATGCTTTCTGCTGTCCCAGTGGACAGGTGCCCTGGACCCTGCTTCTCTGGCCTCCCCAGGCTTGCTCAGGCTCACACGGTGCTGCATTCCCTCCTCCCGGCCTCCTTCCAGTCCCCTGGGGGGAATTCCTCCATCCACAGCCCCTGTACCCCTGAGGACACCCAGACCATGCAGCCTGGTGGCTCCCTCTGCACAATTAACACTTACCCTGCCTTGCTTTCACCCCTTGCAGAGTTCACAGAGGTCCCCACAGCTGCATTAGCAAGGCCCTACCCACACAGACGCACACATCTGCACACACATACACGCACCCCCCACACACACAACTCACACACACACACACACACACACCTGCATTGTGTATTGCCTGACTGCAACACAGGCTCTCCAGCGTCTGTCTGAACCTCAGTGACACCTTTACCAGATGGAACATCACCGCTACGGCTCCCGGGGGCCATCTCCTGGGAGGGAGCCTTCCTGAAGTCAGCAAGCCCAGGCTGCTGGCTCTGTGAATCACTTTCTTTGGCCCGGCAGACTCAGAGGGACTCCATGGTCCAAACTCAGTCAGAGTCACCCAATGGAGGAGGGCTACTCTCAAAGGCAGGTTGCAGAGACCCCACAATCTTAAAGTCCTCTCTGCAGTCAGCGCCTCCGGGACGTGGAAAGGCCATGTAGCCCAGCCCGCGACGTGACACACGGGAAGGACTCACTGACAGCTCGAGAGTGGCCCTTCCTCTTTCAGTCCAGCAACGCTTCTCTCACGCCGGACCACCCTTTGTTCCTGTTACAAATCAACAGTTTTCCTTGAAATACGTGAAAGCCTGTAAAATGCAGAAAAGAATACGGTGGGACAGAGACAGGTGAAGTTCTCTTTTCTCTATTATCAAACTTTTCCCAAACACCTTCTCAAGGATTTATTTAATACCCAAAACGACACCACAGTGCATATTCCGAATAAAAAGCACACCCAGACAGCGACGTCTGGCCCTCGGAGTTTACACGTAGGCTGTGTTCCTGTCTGTAAAGTGCCTCGAGAGCCCGCCCAACTGCTAATTAACATCTTAGGTTTGCTTCCTCCAAACCCTGGCCCCCCCACCACACACCCCATACTGCCTGCATCTTCCCACCAGTGAAACCGAGAAGCCACCAGAGGTTAAAGCAGTTAATATTGGGAGAATCCCGAGGTGGGCTCTGCAGCATCCTGGGAGTAGGTGTGGGCTCCCTTGTGGGCTGCACTTGCAAAAGGAAGCCGAGAAATGAACACACTTATTTGACATCCTCCTGCCATAAGAGAATCCAGTCTGACTCGTAGAAATCCATTAGGTGCCCAGTTCGGTTGGCACTGCCATTGCTAGTGAGACTTCTGTGTCCATCTTCAAAGAACAGCTGTCCTGGCCATGGGACGGTGAGCAGGGCTGGGCTGTCTGCAAAGGAGGCTGAAGTCAGGCTTCCCCTCGTCTAGTCTACAGACCCTGCCTCGAGGGTTTCCGACAGTCTTGCAGAGAAGGGCCCTGGGGGAGTGGCCGAGGTTGCTCGAAGTGCCAGCCAGGCCTCCTGCAGCCCAGGCCCCAGGGGTTCAGGGTTAGGGCCTGTTGCCTGGTGCTGTTACCTTCATCAGTAAGAAGTCTGAACCACTTGGACGTTCCTGGGTTTTCTGGGTAATCCTGCTGGCGACCTCCTAACCGGACCCCACAGCAGGCCCAGTCTGCAGGGCAGAGCCACGCACCAGGAAGCAGGAAGAAGCTGCTATCTTTGTTTCAGATGCGGGGTCCTGGCCTCGCTGCAGGGCCCAGTGGCTGTGGACTTGGCCTCTCTCTGACAGCGCTGACAGGTGCGTCGGCTGGCACTGGGGCACCGCATGGCAGGGCCCCGTCACTCGTGAACTCCACAGTGAGACCTTGCCTCAAAATAAATAAAAGGGAGAAAGAAAGGGAAAAAACACCCTATTGGTTTCTGGGTTTGATCTGCAGCACCAGAGACACAGAGACAGAGACAGAAACAAGCAGAGAGACGCTGCAATTGGGTTAGGCCAGCATTTTCCAAATTTACCTGCATGGGGAAACTTTTCCTAACAAGACTTACTAATATGTTGTGGACCTTACACTTCTGAGATTACACCCTGAGAATCAGTGATGTAAACCATCTAATACATGTACTTAGTACAGGGAATTTTAGGTCAAATACAACTGAGGTGTCAAGAGGCAGCATAAGAGAATTTGGGTAGAAAAAGAAGCTACTTTTAATTGCTTTTTGGTTGGTTTTTTTATTCTTTCTTTCTTTCTTTCTTTCTTTCTTTCTTTCTTTCTTTCTTTCTTTCTTTATTTATTTTTGCTCTAAGTGACCAGTCATGTGGACACCCTGTCAGAGTCCTGAAACTACAGTGAAAAAAAAGGTTCCCGAATATCTCTTTTTTCCCCATGGAAAAAGTATAAACCAAAGTGCGGTGCATTCCACTTTTGTTGAGTCAGACTCCCTGTGTCCCCGGCACACCTGGGGCATTTAAAAACAGTCCCTGGGGTACAGATGCCTGCAGTGTTCTTGAAAGAGAATTCAGCACTCAGGACACAGGGCCGCCAGGCCAAGCCCACACTATCTTTTGGGTCCCACATTTGCCCCCAGAAGACCCAGCCAACAGGCTCAAAACAGCCAGAAAATCTGCACGGTCGACAAGACTTCTGTGTATTTTCTTTCCCTGGTTGCAGAGCTAACAGAAAGGAGAAGAAATGCAAACAAATATCACCCTGGAGAACGAGACAGTCACACAAGGGCTGTTCAAACCGTGGCTCATGTGGACTAACTTTTATTCAGTGAAAACATTTTATGGAAGGAGCCGGGCTGTGTTGAGCACCTGCACTAACAGGACAAGGGCAGTGGCTCAAGGAACGTGGCTGCACAGCGTCCTCGGTCAGAGAAGTCTCAGAAAGTGGGCGGTTTTCACAGGATGCACCTGCCGCGTTGCGGCGATCCAGCCCACCCGGGACGCGCCACGCACACGCGCCGCGCTCCGCACAGCAAGGCTTGGAAGTCACACAGGCACAACCAGGGCACCAGAGATTAAATTCCCCTCACAGTGCTCCTAGTGGAGGACCAGGCAGAATATATCTCCCCAAACACAAACTGATTGATTAATTGATAATTGATGGTCCTGCTAAGTTACTTATTATCTGAGAGAAGCTGGACTCGTAATGCAAACATTTCGTTCCTATTTTTCACCCAGGAGATTATTTTACACTTCAAGGGAGCCTCAGAGTCTGAACCGGACTGTGAAAAATGATCCAAAACGGGCTGACAAATCGGCCTCAAATTCTATTCTACCCACAAAATTTGCATCGTTTCTGTTGATATTCGTCAAATCTCACGAGGTCCTTTCTGTCTTCTCCCACACAGAAGAGGCTGCACCTGTGAAAGTGGGTATGTCTACTTCCTGGCGACCTCATAATTGAGAATTTTATGGGAACGTTTCAAAGGAAAGAAATGACAGGCAAAATATATCTCAGCAAAGTCCACCGAGTAACTGTTTCCTTAAGATCTGATGTTTGTCTTGTTTAACGTTCAAATCCAGGCTTAACTTCACTACTAACAATTACTAGTATCACACAGTATTTTCCGCTCGACAAATAAATCTAGTCTGAAAAACGTCATCGTCATCAGCCAGAGTAAGACCCAGCGTCTGCTATCTAAAATGCTGATATTTGAACTGGCGAGATGCGTTTACAGAGGAAAAAAATTAGCCAGTGGGCAGACATCTAACTGTGGTTCACACAGCTTCACAGAAAACGAAAGTGATACCTAATTGTCAGAATTCTTAACACGCTCAGAATCCACACGTGTAAAACAACTTCCTCCTTTCCTGTTACATTCAGTCCTCGTAGGAGCAGAAGTCAGAGAGCTCAGTTTTGGGCTGTTGGTTCCAGGAAAACTAAAGTATATTTCTATTCAAAATAAGTACTTTCTTAAGGTAGTTTAGACACTGTTCAGACAGTGACGCTATGTAGCAAAGTACCAAACACACTTCAGGAAATCACACTCGATTTTGCACTGTGTGAGCTTTTAACCCAACCGGTTGTCAACCTCTCTGCTTTTCTGTTCTAGGTACTTTAAGTCCCTGACAAAAGTAAATCAAGTGTTTTGCCATTTTGGGGACCAGAAAGTCCCAGCACCGCTCACGCGATCTCACTCCACTGCTCCACACCGATTTTAGGGCAGTTTGATGGGACACTGTGTCCAAAGCCTATCCAAGCCAACCCCGACCTCAGGGCATTCAATTTTACCAGCAAAATTATGCAAGGCCAGGAAAATGGGGCTGCTGGAGGTAGGTGTTCATGCTGCCACCTGTCGGCCTTGTGAGGAAATACATCACAAGGAGCGGAAAGGAGAACTGGGTTTAATGTGTATTTTATTTCCCTGGGGTAAAAGGCGGGGGGGTGGTCCGTAAATGCTTCTTAAATGGGGGAAATAAGATCACAGACTCCTGGGGAAAATATTACAAAAGGCTGAACCCTCTCCCCAGAAAAAAATAACATCGACGCAACTTGGTAGACAAATGTGGGCAAGCTGAAATCTACTGGAATACCTGCTTTCTAGACAGGAATCACCCCTCACAACCTGATTTTTTGTACTGTGACAAAAATTCTATAAAACAGAAAAAAGGGGGCTTCCTGGGAGGATGACTCGAATGCGAGAATTTTCAGAAGAAAATTCTTGACATCAAATGATTTTCGGTTCAAAACTGGTAGTTCTTAGATGGGAGGTTCTTAACCCTTTTCCCCAGCAGCCGGGAAGATTTGGATTTCACTTCAGAGCTAATCAACGGGAAAGGCTCTCTGGGAATTCTGGGCGGCATTTCCAAGAGAAACATTATGCTTTTGACACCTCTGCTGTTGACATCTGAGATCCGCCCTGGGCTGAGTTTCGGCAGGTGACAGCGCTGGAGCCCGCCGTTTGTTTATTTATTGAGCTTGTAGAAATGTCTTCCGTGTTTCTGGGAATATTTTTCCAGCACGGGTTGCTCACTGCTGTCAGCTGCCCCTAAGATGTTTGGAACACATCCCAGTGCTCTGGAATCTGGGGGCCTTCCTCCCCACCCCCAAACGGAGCCTGTCCTACCTAGGGGAGAAGGACTGGCTGAGCCCTTGCAGTGACTGAGAAATGCATCTGCCCCCACTCCCTTCCTAATGGCGTGGTTGGCAGCCGTCTGAGGAACTACTGATGGGTCGCGTCTGTCCGGCATGCTGGTCCCTTGGCCTGTCAGTGCGACCACAGCATTAGCCTAGCGACACCTGGGGCCGGACCCACTTCCCCTTCGTGAAATCAGCGCTCCCTGCGGATGTCCCCCGAGTGCCTGCTGCCTGCTCAGGGAGAGGCAACACACAGCGACGGCCTGGTCCCTTCGTCTGCTTGTAGGAACAAGACAGTCTCTCATCATGGTTTTTGTCCTCACCGTTTCTATCTTTGCTGGTACTCTCCTAACTCTCAGTGGGTTATTCTAGCAACACACAGCACTTCGTCTTGAGAAGTACATCATGATTGTATGAGGGAGAAGGATTCCCCACACACTGGGATGTCCTTTCCAGCTCGTGATAATCTGCCTGATTCCTGGCTGTGGAAGCCGGGAGGCCTAATAGTGTGGCCGCTGCCCGGCCCTGAGTTGCTTCAGGAGGTTTTACGTTTTATTAAAGTAATAAAATGTAGCTTTTACAGTCGCCCACAGTATGTAATTACAAATGCATATTATTGATATTATCCGTGCATTGCTTGGGTTTACTTTTCCATTAATAGGAACTCTGCATTTTATACATTAATTATACAAAGAATTAATGACGGCTTACACAAGTCAGTCTATAAGACAGTGTAGAAACAATTATACTCACCATAAAGCAGTCCATTCTTTAGGAACAGGCTTTGTTCCAAGCCATGATTTTTAAATACCTTTGTTCACAAGCAGGAAGTGGTATTACACAGGGAATAAAATGAACACATTCATAGAAAACTGAGTTTTATCGGAGAACAGTGGGTGTTCAACATGGCAACGGTTCTAACTCTCCTGGCTCTTCAATTCTTGTAGCATTTCATGGAAGGATATTCACATTTCAACTTTATGCTTTGCAGTACTAAAGCAATGATTTCAAACTCAAGCTGTCCGGAACAAACCCACCACAGCGGTCTTCACTCAGTGTCCTCACCACAGGGGACAGAACCGCCATCAGAATCTAAAACTCCAGAAACTTCGGTTCACCTTCCTCTACCCAGTCCATCACCAAGGTTTGCTGCTTCTGGGTCCCAAGTGGCCCCAAACTGGTCCATCTCACCTCACGCCTGCGAACCCACCCCGGCTTAAGCTAAGTCATGTCTTCCCCGAGCTCCCGCCGTGGTCCCAGTCCCTCTCCCACACCCATCTCAGGTTCACTCCCCAGGTCCTCAAAAGACAAGTGAAGCGATACTAAAGCCTCCCTCTCCCGCAGAAAACCCTCACCCCAGGGCTGGAAAGAACCTGTTCTGTTCCCATCTGCTGATCAACCTACCCACCTCTCATGTCCCCTTGAGCACATTTTTTTCAGAAAGTTTCCTCCAAATTCCCCTGTTGTGACTTTTTCTCTTGGAAACAGGGTCTCACTATGCAGTTCAGGTGACCACCATCCCCAGCTTGTTGTGACCTGTCCGTTGCAATTTTATAATTGATTATGCTAGTAGGAAGTCAGATCAAAACTATGGCTAATATTTAATTTTTTTAAATTTGTATTGCAGTAAAAGATGCATTTGCCCTTAATCTCTCTCAAAATACAGTGGAACACACTTAGCCCTTTTTCTTGCCACTTTCTGAAGCAGTTCTGGACGTCCTCTATTGTGAGTGTCTTTAACTGTGCTATCCTGGCTGCTTGCATTTCGTGAATCGATCAAAATAT